ACACCTACATCACAGTGATCGAGTGAAGTCGGCCACAGTTGGGCTTGCGTATTCTGTACTACTCAGTCTACAGGGAAACTAACTCTAACGATTGGAATGCGAGGTGAGGCTGAGGAGTGTTAGCACCAGCAAAAGTTACGCGGATGATAAGGTGTAAAAATAATTTTATGCAAGGCCGTCTAGCCTAATGTTATAAAGAAACTAAGTACATTATCTTTAAGGGTTTGTATATATATTTGGTCTGATAACTTGCACTAGATTATCCTGAATTTAATATATCTGGCAGATTTTCTGTTGAACCGACCAAGTTTAAATCACCCTTTTAAAAGTATATTGTCAGGGCAGATATTTGTGGGTCCATCAGACTAAAAAGTTGCTGAATGTGCTACGTTCGTGTCTTATACTATATTACCATACTTTTACTAGCAATCCATATTCTAAATGAGCAGTCTACTACCTCGTAAACAAATAAATAGTCAAACTCTCAACAATCGCCTCATAGCTATTTATTATACTTGTCTTTGTTTCAGGATCCAATAAGAAAGTTATTTCATTTTCTTTTCTGTCGCGTAAATAATACTTTCTGCATATCATACCAGGTTGTCACTCCATCTAGTGGGGGGAAACGCCCTACATCTTGCCTACCGGTAAGAGGCTGCCACTCGAAAACCTCTATTCCCCATGGGTAGTTAGTTTTTGAGCTATATGGCCGAACCATTGCCACTTCAGCTTACTAATCCGTTAAACTATATGAGCTATATGAGCATCTACATTTTCATTCATAATCGAGGATAGATGTAGATTTCTATGGATTACAGCAACCATTTACCATCAGTTGAACTGTGTGCTCGTTTGTCAACCGTATAATATAAAAATATATTATTTTACTTATTAGTAAAATAAACAAGAGTTTTTATTACTCGATCAAATTCATGCAAACAACTCTGATTCTTGAACCATATCAAAATAAAATATCAAGTATTGTATGTAAGGAAGGTCTTTAAGATGTGCCTTCAACCTTAGTAGTACTGCTCTTTTACTACAGTAATGTGACCACATTTTCTCCCTAAATTCCGTGCTCTAAATGCACTTGAATTTGTTTCCGGTGTTTATCAACACAACCGCAAATAAAGTAAACCAACTTTTCTGTGTTCCTAGGTTGGCATTACCCACGTTAAATCCTCCCTCACGTTATGAGCACACGTTGCACACGTTTTAATATTTTATTACTAATATTTACAACGACTCTATCGAAATCAAAATATTCGCAAAATATATGCTCAATCATTTCATACATTCATTTCACATCATACATTTTCGCATTTGCTGGAACTCAAACAAGTACCATCATTTGTCAGCAAGTTGAGTGTTGGAAAAGCATTTCCAGATAAATATTTTACAGGTTTTTTAAAAAAAAACTTAATACAGGATTTTTATATAAAATTCATTTTTCATAAATCTCCTACTGTCGCCGAATCATTGCTTAAACAAAATGTAAGGGCTTGTTCAGATACTTTTAAATTCCATAGAGTACTGCCAAAGATATCGTAAAATTTTTAAATAGTTTTAAAATATTTAACGATGTTAAGAAAACGGCAGACTTATGGGGGATTTCCGTTAAAGTTATTTTATCTATAATAGTTATTATAGCACCTTATCTAGCCACTATATTTAATACAAGCGTCGAATCTGGTGTGTTTCCTGATTTAATGAAACATAGTAATTTTTCGTTCGTTGTTCAATGTTTTAAAATTGTTTGCGTTTATTAATTCTAGAATAAATTATCTGCAAACGATGATATGGTCAATATTATTTTCAATATATTGTAACTTTATATACCAACTCATCATTATGATGTCATCATTATCATTATCATTATCATCATTATCTCATTATGATGTTAAGAAAACGGCAGATTTGTGGGGGATTTCCGTTAAAGTTATTTTATCTATAATTGATATAATAGCACCTTATCTAGCCACTATATTTAATACAAGCGTCGAATCTGGTGTGTTTCCTGATTTGATGAAACATAGTAAAGTCATACCTTTATTTAAATCTGGTAGTACATTAGACCCCACCAATTTTAGACCAATTTCTGTACTACCAACATTTAGTAAAATTTTTGAAAAAATAATTTTAGATCAAATGTTAAGTTTCTTTAATATTAATAAATTGCTACATAGAAATAATTCGGTTTTACAAGGGGTCGCTCGACAACTGACGCTGGAGTTGAGCTTATTAAACATATTTTTGTGCATGGGAGAATTCAGAGGATGCTTTGGGTATATTTTGTGACCTTTCCAAGGACTTCGACTGCGTTCACCATGAGACATTAATCAGGAAGCTACAGTACTGTGGTGTCAAGAAGACAGCGCTTAGACTTATTATTTCATATTTAAGTAAAAGAATGCAGAAAGTTATTATCAGTTGTAAAAATTCTTCCGGCTCACCTGTACTAATGGGTGTCCCTCAGGGCTCGATTCTCGGCCCATTCCTATTTCTAGTGTATATTAATTGCTTACCTTCTCTTGTGGAGGATAATTATGATACAGTATTATTTGCTGATGATACTTCCTTGATTTTTAAGCTTAAACGTCAGTCATTTAAATGTGACGAAGTGAATAATGCTATATCAAAATTAGTGCTTTGGTTTAACGTTAATAATCTACATTTAAACGGAAATAAAACCAAATGTATTAAATTTATAACAACGAATGTTAAAAATCTGAGTACCAATGTGTTTTTAAATGGGGAAGAACTGAGTCCTGTTGAATCCACTGTTTTTCTTGGCATCACTCTCGACGCAAAGCTCCAATACGCATATATCCGCACGCATATATCCAAACTAGCAAGAATACTAAGTTCTGCAGCCTATGCTGTAAAAAATATTAGAGGTCTCACTAGTGTCGAGACAGCTAGATTAGTTTATTTCAGTTATTTACATAGCATAATGTCTTATGGGATTTTGCTATGGGGAAATGCGGCTGATTCAGAAACTATTTTTGTTTTACAGAAGAGGGCCATTAGAGCTATTTACAACCTAAAACCGAGAGAGTTTCTTAGAGATAAATTTAAAGAAATAAATATATTAACTTTGGCCTCTCAGTATATTTACGAAAATTTAATTTATGTTCACAAAAACAAAGGTATATATAGTAAAAAAAGTGATATACATTCTGTAAACACTAGAAACAAACACAAGCTAGTGATACCAGTTTCTCGACTCCACAGAGTCAGTAATTCATTCTTGGGGCAATGTATACGCTATTAAAACAAGATCCCGCAAAGTGTACAGGCTCTCTCTATTAGCAAGTTTAAATGTTTTGTTAAGTTGAAACTGTATAAAAAGGGTTATTATAGTAAAAATGAATATATGGTTGATAATAACCCCTGGGAATAAGGTGATCGCTTCCAAGCTGTTTCTAAATTAAATTTTGTACTTATATAGTTTGTACAACCATTATTGTAAAATTTGCTTTAAAAAACAGTACCGCTGGGTTTCTTGCTGGTTCTTCCCAGGACAGAGGTTTTTTTTCGAACCAGTGGTAAAGTAAAAAATGACTTTCAATAAGAATTACACATGTGATCTATATTGAATAAAAAATTAATCTATTCTATTCTATTCTATTCCATTCCATTTTATTCCATTCCATTCCATTACATTCTATTCTATTCTATTCTATTCTGTTCAGTTCTGTTCTGTTCTGCTCTGTTATATTCTATTCTATTCTATTCTATTCTATTCTATTCTATTCTATTCTATTCTATTCTATTCTATTCTATTCTATTCTATTCTATTCTATTCTATTCTATTCTATTCTATTCTATTCTATTCTATTCTATTCTATTCTATTCTATTCTATTCTATTCTATTCTATTCTATTCTGTTCTGTTCTGTTCTATTCTATTCTATTCTATTCTATTCTATTCTATTCCATTCCATTCCATTCCATTCCATTCCATTCCATTCCATTCCATTCCATTCCATTCCATTCCATTCCATTCCATTCTATTCCATTCTATTCCATTCTATTCCATTCTATTCCATTCTATTCTATTCTATTCTATTCTATTCTATTCTATTCTATTCTATTCTATTCTATTCTATTCTATTCTATTCTATTCTATTCTATTCTATTCTATTCTATTCTATTCTATTCTATTCTATTCTATTCTATTCTATTCTATTCTATTCTATCCTATTCTATTCTATTCTATTCTATTCATCATACAATACGAAAACTCCATTCACATCCCAATTATTAACATTGCTAAAAGGAAACTTCAGAAGGATTTAATCGTCCCTTAGCTCTGACCGTGCTACTGATGTTAGTTCCTTCAAATTATCTCCAAATTTAATGGGACTTGTCTACTTAGTCCCTTTTTTCACCCGAATGCCCCAGAGCGAGGATAATTTTTTTCAAGAGTGTATACTACGTCTATTTATTTATAATAACTGTTTTACCATTAGGTTTGTTTTGTAAACTAATTGTAGGTATAATTAATTTCATAGGCTATGAAAAATTGCTATTGTCTTACTCTTGTGTCTGGAAACTGGACAGTGAACGTGTTAAAACACGATTCTTTTCGGACATTCTATTGACTCTTTCTATGAATTACCTACGCTTTCGGGAGTCTATAGTTCGGGATAATATTTTCATATTCAATATAACATAATAATAACCCAATAAAACCCGCAAAATATAAAATACACACAGATTCACCGATTACTACCAAGGATGACATATATAAGGCCGTATTGCGTAGAAGGGACCAATAGTTAAAATCTAAAGTTGGCCCCGGACATCAAGATTTTGAGCATCTCAGAGTTCACTTACCCTCCTCCTCACTGGTGACATGTCGGGGATAAGAAATAAATTAAAATTAAGCGCGAAGAAGCCCATAAGATTATATTTATACAATATTCTTTATATTATTCAGCCATGAAAATTTTACAAACTATTGCTGATTTTTTTTTCTATTTTAAATTTACTTCATTATTGCATCTGCGTAAATAAAGTGTAGAAGCTGTATGCCCCCTTCATAACCTAAAAAAAATATAAATGAATATAATATTTATAAGTGATTTGTGGCATTAGTAAGTGTTATGACATATTCTGTGCTTGCGAAAAAAATATAACAATCGCCAATTTATTCTCCTTTACTTAAAAATCTTCTTCGTTTTTATCAGTTTGAAAAGTCCACACATGGTTATGTGTGGATATGTGCTTGTTTTTGTCTTTTTAACTACCCGTTAAAGTCCACTTCCGGACATGGGCTCCCTCCTAGTGTAGAAAGGATTTGCTTTAATCATCATGCTTGACTGGTGGGTTGAGAAAATATCGGCAGCGGTAGAGCCAAGCGACAGCTTTTGCTGTTGCATGGAAGGGCCGGCTCGAACCGGGGTGGTACCACGACCTCACAGAATACTAGCGTGAAATAGAGGTTTACCTCTGCGATTCGCTTGGTGATTGCAGGTGGCCGGAGGCCCTTATTACTGGAAACAAGGCATTCCATCTTAGTCCTCACGGGTGACAACGCATCTGCATTTTGATTTCTAATAGAGGATAGACGTAGATATCTATGGGCCGCAGCAACCACTTACCATCGGGTGGACTGTGTGCTCGTTTGTCATCCTTATCCTATAAAAAAAGCAACCCACGAACAACTGCAACACCAGGGGAACAGCAGGTGCGTGCGTTGTTTTACAAAAAAGTACGCGTTTCTTGAAGGTTCCTAAGTAGTATTGCATCTGACGCTGCTGCCCGTACTCGGTCTGAGTAATTAACGTCTGGAGTTAACAAGATGGTTATACCGAAGCAAATAGATCTCCCTGGCATTAACCATTGTCACCTTTAATAATACCCACGAGAAAATAAACTTAGCATAACTCACTTGAATAAATGTTGGAATTGAGAGAGCTGTGAACGGACCAGCGTTAATTATGAGTGGTCCAGCCAATTTTCCAGCAAGTAAAACCAGTTGTTTTCGCTCTTGTAAATCTGCTTTCCACCAATTACTTTCGTATACGCCATTACCTACTCTATCACTCTGAAAAGTATGTTAATATGTAAATTACACTATTTACACATGTTGCTCAATATTGCATTTGCTTATATTGACCCATAATTTTTAAAATTTCTCTGCAGAAAATTGATTGCAACCATAATAAATCGATTGAAATATAATAGTTAATTATAAAGATTCAGTGGGCCACAGCATCAACTCACCATCAGGTGAACTGTGTGCTCATTTGTCACACTTTACACACATTATATATAACAAATAATTCAAAATTCAGAGTTAAATATGCATGTAATATTATATCCAACTGTGCCCGAAAAATATTTTTTATTAAGTTCTTACCTCCATAGCAATCTCATTACTGTGCCAACAGTATAAAAATAGCTGTACACCAAGAGCCAAAACGTACTCGAAAACCCAAAGCTTTTGTGATATCGACACATTTTCCTGTTGAAATGAATAAGTGTGTGTGATTATAAATTACAAAATTAAACTTGTAATAAAAAGTGAATAGCACCTTTAAATAACTTAAAAGAATCTATCTTTACAAGTCGGTAATAAGCGTTATAAAATTAAGTCCCGATTTCAGGAGCTATTATGTGGAAATTGTTTATTATTTTTAGTATTTTGGAGTCGGTTTTTCATTTTAATTTAAAGTTAATTTTAAATACACAAGCTCAAGGTAACGACTAAAATGTAATTTCATTACTACCTACATCCTTTTACGTTACGTATTTAAGAGCGGAGAAGAGCCTCAGCCTCTTGCGTCTGTAAAATTAACAGTAACGATAACAGTTATATTTCTTACCAAACTGAGCTGTATTACACTGCAACAGATGTTGATTGAACAAACAAGCACATATAAAAACATAATAGGTGAGATCATTGTGTTAAACGCCGTGTACTGTCTGAAAAAAAGATATTTCTTTAAATTGTTTTCTACAACCCAGTTCAAATGAATTGAAAAATGAACTTACGACTTTGACTCAAGTCAAATTTGTTTTTAATAAAAATTTTTTATTGAATGATGGTGACAAACGAGCATTTGATGGAAAGTAGATGCTGTGGCCCATAGACATCTACATTTATCCTCGATTAAGAATCAAAATGCAGAAGCGTTGTCACCCTCAGAACAAAAGATGAAATGAATCGTTTCCAGTAAAAAGGGTATCCGCTTCTCCACACTCACCATACAAAACACATCAGCATTAAGCTGCTATTTTACGACGCTGGTATTATGTGACAGCGTTTTTCTTCCCCGGTTGAGCCAACCCATTCGTGCTACAACCATAACATGGATTCAGAATGGCTCAACAACGTATGTTATATTCAAAATTGTCCTTTACAAAGCACTTTTTGAGATTCAAGAAAACCTCGAACACTGAAGCGGCGAGACACTCCCAGTTAGACTATTTATTTCCCAACAGTTAAAATTTAACCTTATGTGTGTAATATATACATAAGTTAAAACAACTACAAATAGTTACTTTAATTGTTATGTTAAAAATGTTACTACATGAACGTTGTATTTATTGAAAGGCAAAACAATAATATTACATACCATCTTGTTATAAATCTACATATACAAATAAATATCTACCGAAAAAATGAGCTGCCAGTTTATGATGCCTATCCTTTGGTATAAAAACACATCTACAAACTGCAACCACAGTAAAGTAAAAATATAGCTTGTAAACGCATTTAAATTTACAATGATTTCTGCACAAAAATAAATAACGAATAACGAAAAACGTTAAAGAATAATAAAAAAATAAAATATTTTTCACGGTATTTCATTATTGAACCATTTTATAGCTTGAACCTGACATTAATTATAATCTAATTTTTGTAATATGACTGATTTAGTTTATTGCACGGTCTGTCCTGCTCGAGTATAATAAGACACTTTTTTAATGAATTACAATTCCAATAAGTGACGCAGCATTATGTTTATTTCTCAAAATATTTTTTCTTCTTCTTTTTGTGCTAATTAATTAAGATACATAATTTGAGGTATTTTTAGAGCACAAACATAATGCATTTTGTCTCTATCTGTACCCAAACATAAATTATTATTAGCGAATAACATGAATATAAAAAAAAATATCTCGTCCAGTCCAGTCTAGTACATTTCAAAGATTTTAAACCGTAATTACTTACTTAAGTAAAAAATTGTGATGCCTGTGACATTCTTTTATTCTCGCTTGAATTTCCATTTTTGTTAGTGCTGTTTCCTCGTCTCCAAAAATACGCTGACATTTTTCACGTAAAATTATAAACTGACCTTTTAAAAAAGTCATTATTGCAAACGCATTAGCATCATAAACAGCCACCACGCCAGCACCTTGTACTGTCATTATAATATGTAATGCTGTTGCAAATATATATCCAGGCTTCTTTAAAATGTTGAAGGGAAGCCACGACCTTAAAATTTGTGGTGGTGGCTCTGCGCCTGTTTGTATATCTTCTCGATAGGATGAATCAGACGCATACTTTAGAAATGGTGAAAAAATTGTTGCAATGACTGTTACAAAAAACACTAACCAGTACAAATTTGTAACGATCCTCACATATCTCGTATAATCTTTCATTAGTATTATTACAAAATTTTGTTGTTCTTTTAGAGCTGATATTTCTTCTTCAGATATTGCTTTTATAAGATTTTTGAAACTAGATTGTAAGATAATATACGATATAGTTTTACAAATTACAACAGTACTTAACGCTGATATGGAAATATTTATTAAGGCGTTATGAAAATCTTTTCTCATAAAATACAAGTCAACTAGTTGACTGATAACAAAGATTAGAGAAATGAGATGAAGGAAATTAAAAAAATGTTGTCGATACTTATTTTCTCTTTCGGGTAGCTGTCGTAATAGCCCAAAGGTGTAAAGGCCTTTTAAATTTGGCCCCAAGAGTGGGAACCGCCGATCTTCAAAACTTTTGGTGGCTGTGTAAAGTATATTATAACCCATTTTTTTATAATTATTATACTAATTAATGTTGATCAGTAACTTGCTATATTAAAACTGGTAGTGTTTAACACTTATAAACGATTTTTATATCAAATTTATTCCAAATGAAAATGTACAGAACGTTCTTCACGGTTTTTATTTTAAAATGGTATTCAGCAAAAGTGACCAAAGATTTCTTTTATAGTTTAGCGTCTTCGCATATTTATTTTGTAAAATAGTTAAAATAATTGTATCTTATTAATATGAGTAAGTTACCGTTATTCCATAGTGTGGCGATGGGACGGGATTGAATCCGTTGTCCCATTCCCTCTAAGTAAACACAGTGACACAACTTACTGATTATTACTTTTTGCTTTACCATATTTAATAAAGGTAAAACACTTAGTGAAATTTTGTATCTTGTCTCCACAGAAAATTAAAATAAATATATTAACATACGTAAATATATGCACAACACCAGTAATCCCCAAGAGTGTACGCACAGTCTAAAGAGAGGCGAGCTATTCGAACCACGTTTAGTCAAAAAATATTCGTTAAGATTGAAAATTGAAAAAAATATATATGGCCTATCGCCTCCACAATCACAAACTCGGTATCTCATTAGTCGCTTTTGACATCATGCTGGCGAGTAATACTGTTGGCACTTTCTTTTTTTTTAATGCTACATAAACCTAAGACTTTTAAATATATTTTATAAGCAAGTTATGGTGATAGCGCACATACTAAAGTATTAATTTGTCTAAACGTGATAAAAAAGATACAAAATAGAATGAAATGTGCCAAATACAGCGTAAATATGAAGGCAGGTAAGTTAACATGTTAGTAGACACGATTACTAGAAATATTTATTTAACTAATTTCATTGATTTTTAACTAAACCAGTTTTTATTAAATTTGATATAAAATTGCAACTCCGGTGCATAAACTAGTTCATGTTGCAATAAATATTACTTAATCACCCTACAAAATTACCTCCTTCACTATAAAATGACTCTTTTTAAACAACTGAACTTAATAACTTAATTATATCTTCACCTGTTAATTTATTCTATTAAGTTAATTAGTTAGATATATGTATATGGTGTGAAATGGGGCAACTTTTAAATGCATACTTTTTAATACATGCATATTATACAAAATAGGTAATAAAAGCTTTTAAAAAAATATTAGTAATTTTTTTTAAAAGCTTTTATATAATTGATTTCCGCAAAGTAACGCCTGATTCTATTAATTATAAAATAGGAAATGTATTATTATTATTTAAATAAAAATATTACATCCTCGATATTTATTTTATCAGAGTCTGTGTAAAGGTATAACCGGCATGGTTGGTAATTGTTTTGTTTCTTTGCTTATCGGTCCGCAAAATTCCACTGCTGTTCATGAACCTCTCCCAATATAGGGAGGATTTTCTGGATTTACGATAACAGTGTCAAAAACCTACTCTTGTTTAAAAGGCCGCCAACCCACCTGCGAGTCCCGTGGTGTTGCAGTTCTTCATGGGCGGCAGTCGAAATTTACCATCACGTGAACCGCATGCTCGTTTGCCTCCTTTTCTATAAAAAAAAAACATTATTATTGAATGAGGGTCACAAACGAGCACACAGTCTTCGACTATTATCTTCGATCAAGAATCAAAATGCAATTTTTTTTATACAATAGGGTGACAAACGAGTACACAGTCCACCTGGTGGTAAGTGGATGTTGTGGCCCAAAGAATTTTTTTTTATAGGATAGGGTGACAAACGAGCACACAGTCCAACTGGTGGTAAGTGGTTACTGTGATCATTGGACATCTACATTTATCCTCAATAAAGACAGATGCAGATGCGTTGTCAACCGTGAGGACTAAGATGGAATGCCTCTTTGCCAGTAAAAAGGGTCTCCGGTTCTCCACACTCACCATACGAAACACAGTAGCATTATGCTGCTATTTTACGCTAGTTTTCTGTGAGAGCGTGTTCCTTCCCCGGTCGAGCCCACCCATTCGTGCTACAACTATACTACTAATATAGCTGCAGGATGGTTCTACCACGTAAACATAAATGCTCAATTATGAATCAAAATGCAAATGCTTTGTTTCCCCTAACGACTAAGATGGAATGTCTCGTTTGCAGTAAAAAGGATCTCCGGTTCTCTACACTCACCATACAAAACACAGCGACAATTAAACTGCTATTTTACGTTGGTATTCTGTGAGAGGTTGGCCTTGCCCGTTAGAGTCCACCCATTCATGCTACAACCATAGTATAGCTGCAGCGTGTCTCTACCACGTCTAAAATATGATGACGAATAAAAACTACAGTTGTATAAATTTAATATTGCGTACGTAAACATTTAAGAGCAATTTTATTAAGAATTAAAAATTAAAGTAGTATGATTAAAGTAGTTCAGTTGTCTCAATTTTATATTCAATGAATTTATAATTTATTTGTTCGATAACTATTGATTACTTAAAAAGACTAATGAATGATTAATTCAATAGAAGGTTTTCAATATAAGACTATGTCTCAGATGAAGCTGTAAGAGCATAGGCTAGCAGCACTTTTAATCACAGAATATAGACTATGGTCACATTGAAATCGCGCAGTCACCAAGAAGTTAAACCATAGCCGGAACGAGGACAGTTACAAGAAAAGCGATCCGGTGTTAATATGAAAAGCGCAAACTTCAAAAAAATCCATAATATCTATAATACCGCTTCAGAGTTAGTGCGAGTTGAGAATATAGAAGCAGTATCGAGTTAATTAGAAGGGATAAGACCTTAAGTCGTGACATTTTCTGCTTTCACATATCCATGAATGATTAGAGTTCCTAAATCACGTCAGTGGGTAACGACAGTTTCAAAGTTTACTCATAACAAAGTTTCTTACGCTTTCAATGTTTTAAGTTTTCTGAGTAACCATCTTCTATCAATATTGATCAGTAGTTTCGTAGAAAATGTTTCAATTCACTAGATCATAATATTTTGATGATGAGGAAACCATTATAGGTATTAAGAAATGGCATTAAGTTCATCTTATGTAACCTTTTATACAGGGTTATTCTTGAAAAAGTAGCCAAATTTTAAACTAATTTACTCGTATTTTCAAAATCTACATTAGTTTTTGAAAATACGAGTAAATAAAGCTTCTACATTTATTTGACATTATCCCAAATTGAATGTGATTTATGAGCAACGACGTACTTGCCTACCGATCGAGCCTTACAAATGTGTGCGTGTGTAGTAAAATCAGTTAAAATAATACATTACATATACCACGCATTTTGGATTTAAAAGATAAAAGGGACATAAAGTTTTATATATTTTTTTATTAACTTTTATCCCCATTTGCCTATATAACTTATTCTGAACCTTCTCTGCATTTTTTTATAGGAGAGGGGGTAAACGAGCATGCGGCTCACCTGATGGTAAGTGACTACCGACGCCCATGAACAACTACAACACCAGGGGCATTGCAGATGCGTTGCCGGCCTTTTAAAAATGAGTAGGCTCTTTTCTTGAAGGTCCCTAAGTTGTATCGGTCCGGAAATATTTAAATATTTTGCCGGCTATTGCAATATACTGTAAACCTGTATATTATATATGAAAGGCTTAGTAGTTGTTGTAAATTATAGATTAGACTTTGGAGCTGCATTATGTCTGCAGATGACTCTACGCTGTTCCTTGTCATCAGTGTTGATATTTAACGTCTGCCTTAGAAGAGATAGTTACCTGTTGTGGTTGTTCAGATGCTAAGCGTTCGCTGTAAATTTCACAGTACGCGAGCAAGTTCGAATATCTCCTCCTCAGCACCAACGAAATTGATAATTACAATTTTATGTGCCAATTTACCATGTACTCAGCTGTGAAAGATAAAATTGTTAAGAAACCTACATATTTAAGAAACAAAATAATTTAACAATAATATATATGTGCAGTCCACCAATACACAATGAAGCACCGCAGTAGACTAATTGCTCCAACATTCTCTTAAATGAGAGGAGGCCTGTTCCAGGAGTTGAACATATAAAGACGCAGTACCTTTTTTACTATACTAAAACAAATAAAGGCACAAAACTGTTTTAGAAATTGTAACTGTATTGTAATGATCAATTTTCATGAACTCTTTCACGATTAGTGGCCCTAAAATTAACGGTTAATAAAAGTAAAGTAGTGGGTTAGTAAAAGTTCTTAAGCTGAAGTTAATCACTGTTTATTCACAATATTTTTAAAACTAAAAATATAGTGTAACGTGCAGACAATAGTGATAAAAACAGACATAGATTCCCAAGTTTCCTTTTCTTTAACCTTTTTTACTCAGTAAAGTGTAAAAACTATACGACGCTCTCAAGATCTGAAAACATACCGTAATTATTAGCTGAAATTTTTCGCATTCTAAGTTTAAACAATTTTTCGTAATATTCGAAATAGTAATTATATTCTAAGTTATAGGATAGGTTAATTTTCAATTAATTTTTGAGCATATATTTAACTATAGGAGTTAAAAAAGTTTTTTTTTAAATTATAATGACAAATTAACTTAATGGCAAGCTGGCACGTACCATCAGGTGGATTTTAAATTGTAAAGTTGCAGTCCACATCAGCCGCAACCAACTACAAAGAAAAAAGGCTATAGATGCATTGTCACCTATGAGAACTAAGATGTTATATATATACCTGAAAGCCTGTGATTATACTGATTCTTCTTCACACCGGAACACATCAGTCTGCACACTGCTACTTGGCGACAGAAATAGAAAAGGGAGCAGTAACAACCCAACGAAATTCCAGACAGAAAAAGATTTTTACCAAGTTAAGTTGAAATGAAATAAGGGAACCGAACAACAATTTTTTTTTTTATAGGATAGGGTGACAAACGAGCACACAGTCCACCTGATGGTAAGTGGTTGCTGTAACCCATAGACATCTACATCTATCCTCGTTTGCGAATCAAAATGCAGATGCGTTGTCACCCGTGAGGACTAAAATGGAATGCATTTTTTCCAGTAAATAGGGTCTCCGGTTCTCCACACTCACCATACAAAACACGGTAGCGTTAAGCTGCTATTTTACGCTGGTATTCTGTGAGAGCGTGGTCTTTCCCCGGTCGAGCCGACCCATTCGTGCTACAATTATACCCGAAATATAGCTGCAGCATGGCTCTGATTCAAGCCGAGGTTCGTACCTCCTTCTGAGGGACCCTTGAATCACATCGAGCCCCCCCCTCGAAAGCAGGGGACGGGGTGCCTCGGGTTTGCAGTCGGCGAAGCGGCCCTTCGCGGAGCCTCGCCGACGGCAGAATCGTTGCACTCAATAGTTCGTAAGTACTCACTTACAAGCCTAATTAGATGAAGCTGTCAAGGCCGCAGGGCCAACAGCATACACATTCAGAAAAAAAACCACGTAACATAAATTATCTAACTTATTATAAAAATATTACACTTACTGCTATAAATGTGGGTACAGAGAGGGTTGTAAATGGACCAGCAGTAAAGACAATGTTCTTTCGAAATTTTCCACTGAGAAGTAAAACTTTGCGACGAATTGGAACATTTTGAGTCCACCATGCGCTTTTGTAAACGCCGTCATCGATACAAAGACTCTATAATATAAATGTGCAATTATAGTGTTCTGTAAAACCTCTTTTACGTCATCTTTATAAATCTACTTTTTATAGGATTAGGGTGACAAACGAGCACACAGTCCACATGATGGTAAGTGGTTACTACGGCCCATAGACATCATCTACAACTATCTTCGACTACGAATCAAATTGCAGATGCGTTGTCACCCGTGAGGACGAAGATGGCATGTCTCGAACCAGTAAAAATTGTCTCCGATTCTCTACATTCACCATATGAAACATAGCAGCGTTAAGCTGAAATCTTACGCTGGTATTCTAGAAAGAAAGAAAGAAAGAAAGGTTTATTCTCCAAAATGACGCCATCACAGATAACATAAAATAGAAACACATAATTTACAAATAATATTGGCTATACAATACAAATTACAATATACTACATATTACAAACTATACAATACCAATACTCATATGTGTCAAGGCGTCATCTGGGAACAGGAGCACACTCAGCATAATGCCATGAATTTTTTTTTTCTCTCCATGGCGCTGATTTTCAGTGTGTCCAACCAGTGACTTACCGAAATCAGTGCTATACGTATACTCATGACAGAATTATGCACAACAAGGGGGAAAGAAACAGTAACTATCTTAAGTGAGAGGGAGAGAGTAGAGTTCAAGGTCGAATGCCACTTCGACACAGCACGTCCCGTTTATGTTGCATTCAGACGCTCTTAGAAGGGCTATACGAACACTCAAAAGGGGAGATTATTAAAATACTATAATGGGCTATATACTACAAAAGGGAAATTATTAAAATACTATAAAGTGCTATATAATAAAATGACCAGATAATTAGTAAAAAAATAAATGTAATTATTGAAGAATATAAAAGTATATAAGAAGACAAAAGCCGCATTCAAAAGGACGATTTTAATGCTCCGTTGTTAATAATCTATGACGATGAGGTACGTAATCGTGCAAAGCGTTATAAACTTTGATCAAAGTTAATCTGACTTTGCAGTAATTGTGTTCTATATTTATTTTTAAATGTGTGTACTGCTTTCAGATTTCGCAAAGGAGGCGGTATATCGTTCCAGCACTTGGATGCGGCGTATTTGAAACTTCCTCGGAAAGCGTGAGTGCGGTGACGAGGCACGACGAGAGTATTCCCTCTAGTGCGTGTATTGTAAGTTTTTACATCACGTGACCATATGAGTTTGTCAGCAAGATAAGGAGGTGTTTTATTTTTTAATACCCCGAATAGGAGAGTTGCCATGTGCAGTTTTCTGCGATATTCCATTTTTAACATTTTGGCATTGTTAATGTAAGGGGTAACGTGCGTGCGGGGTGGTATTGTAAAACTAAATCTTGCACATGCATTTTGAACACGTTGCACTAGACGTCGCGACCGCGCTAAAAGTCTCGGGCCATATACAATGTCCATATAATTAAATTTCGAAAGGACAAGAGTGTCACACAATTTTACCCGAATATCAGAATTTAAAAACTCCCTTATTTGATAAAGAACCTTAAGTCTATAAAAGCAGTTTCTGCTAGTACTTAGTATGTGGTTCTCAAACTGTAGTTTGTCATCCATTAGTAAGCCCAGATTGCGAATCTCATTTACACGTTCTACGATTTCCCCTCGAATTTGGATGCATGCCCCTCTTTCTGATATATTTTTTATTTGATTTTTAGAACCCATAATTAGTAGTTTAAATTTAGTTCCGTTTAGTACAAGGCAGTTTGAGTCGCACCACGCGGCTATACTTTCGAAGTCTTCGTTGATTTTATTAACGACTTCTTGAGTATCACGCGGATTACATGACATGTAGACTTGCAGATCATATGCGTATAAATGATATTTACAGTGCTTAATGTTTTTTACTAAGTCGGCACTGTAAACTGAAAACAATATTGGAGCCAGGTTCGATCCCTGGGGCGCACCGGCTTTGATTTTTTTTGATTGCGAACGTATTAATGTTCCTCGGTCATCGCTCAGTTCTACAGTTTGTAGTCGGTTTTTAAAATAACTATCGAACCATTGTACTGCGCTGCTACTGAATCCATAGTAATGAAGCTTTGATAAGAGAAGGGAAACATTTATACAGTCAAATGCACGAGAAAAATCTAGTAATACTAGTATTGTGCCTTTTCCTTCATCTTGAGCGGTTAGTACATCGTCAGTAAGTTGAGCTAGGGCCGTCGTGGTGCTATGGTTCTTACGAAATCCCGACTGCATTTCCAGTAGAATTTTTTTTCTATCTAAATACATGGTTAGCTGTTCTGCGACAATTTTTTCAATAATTTTAGAGACACAGGGGAGAATACTGATGGGCCGAAGGTCTTTTTCAGACAAAAGATTTGAGTTCTTAGGTATGGGTTTGACTAACGCATGTTGCCATAATGTCGGATAGGTGTTAGAGTTAATGGATTTGTTCACCGTTGTGGAACCGGTTACGACCACGCTGAAGATGCCCAGGGGAAGTCGGTCGCGAATGACGTTCAACCGCGCCGCGTAAATAGGATACAGAGGGATAATGGAGTCGCCGTAGAAATGAACCAGGTGGATCGTCGTGTACGAGCTACGTCGCCGTCGCGCGTCCAACGCCGCACTCTATCGCCTACACATAGATCGCCACATCGCCTTACGGATCGTAGATTACCGTCGCCGTGTCATAGGGATGTAGGTATACATAGATCGCCATCGCCACATCACCACGCGGATCGTAGATCACCGTCGCCGTGTAATGATGTAGGCAGAGATAAATCGCCACATCGCCTTGCGGATCGTAGATTACCGTCGCCGCGTCATAGGGATGTAGGTGTACATAGGTCGCCAGCGCCACAGCGTAGGCTAGAAGGAAATAGGGATAGAGATAGGTCGCTCACCCCGCGAGGGAAGGATAGGGGTATAGAACGGATAGCGGAAGCTTTAGAAAACATGGTTAGGGTTAGACCAGCCGCCGCGAAACAGACGCAGGATTTGCCTATTTTTAACGGCTCGGCCGCGGAATGGTTAGCATTTAAAGCCGCGATGAATGAATCCACGCGTTTATATGGATTCACAAATACGGAAAATATGGCAAGATTAAGGAACTGTTTACGCGGTGAGGCTAGAGACGTAGTATCGGCTCTGCTGTTTACCGCGAAGGATCTAGCAGACATTATGCGGACACTGGAGCAGTGTTTCGGCCGCCCGGAAGTAATTATAGATCGTGCGTTAGAAGAATTGAAACGCCTTCCGCGCCCGGGTCAAACCGCCCAGGAATTAAACTCGTTCGCAATTAAGTTACAAAATATAGTGTGCATTATGCAAAACGTCGACGGCAAGGGTTATTTGCGTAATCCAATGCTGACTAGGGAGGTTACTAGCAAACTTAGCCCTCACTTACGGTCGCGTTGGTGCGATTATGCGGAGCACTACGGAAGTGTGGACGAACCGGACATCGTTACGTTATCCCGGTTCATGATGAGAGAGGCTGACCGTGCGTTAAGTCATGCCTATACGTCCGTAGCGTCGAATAAGGAATCGCCCGTAAGACGAGAGACGCCGCCGTCGAAAAGAATAGTGTTAACACGCCGCGTAGAAGATAGGGCCCGCGACGTAAAGACGTTCACCGCCCAGGAGGACACCGGTAGTGCCTCATGTATGTGTTGCGGGGGTGAACACCCTATCGTCAAGTGTAAGAAGTTAGAGCAAATGGGCTCGGACGACCGGTGGAATTGGGTTAGGGAAGAGGGGGTATGTTTCAGGTGCTTGAGCAGCAAGCACCGACGTATACGCTGCAAAGCCAGGAAGTGCGGCGTCGACGGTTGTAACGCCCCCCACCACGCTCTTCTTCACACCCGTAAGGCCCGTACGCCTGCAGCATCGGTTAAACCGGACGAAACCGTGCTCGTCGCGTCGAGTGTTAGCAGTAGTGCGTCCGTATTGTTAAAAGTGTGTCCGATAACAGTGCGCGGACCACGCGGAAAGGAAGTAAACACGTACGCGCTACTTGACGAAGGCTCTACGATATCGCTAATCGACGACGACTTAGCTCGCGAGTTAGGAGCGGAAGGACCGATAAAGCCGCTCAACATTAAAGGCGTAGGGAACAGTTAACGCGAGGCTAACAGTAGATTAGTCAATATAGGGATACGTGGCAAGACGCGCAGCGAGATGTTTAACATAAACGCGCGAACAATAACCGACTTGAAGATAGGCTCGCAGTCCGTGAGTAGGGAGTGTTTACGATTAAAGCACTTACGTGACTTACCGAGTTCGGTGTGTTACGACGACGCGAAGCCAAGACTGCTGTTAGGCGCCGACAATTGGCATTTGATAATTACCCGTGCTTTAAGGATAGGACGTCGAAGGCAGCCTATAGCTGCACGAACGTTATTGGGATGGGTAATTCAGGGAACCGTGCCGCGGTTAACGTGTAGGGAAGACGGCGAGACCGTATTACACGTAGAGAGCGCTAGCGGACGGTCTGATAGGGACATCCGAACGTTTGCCAGTCGGGACGAGGAGCTAACGGAACTCCTCAAACGGCAGTACGAGATAGACTCTATAGGTATCTCGCTGAAGAGTAGGCCGCGACGGGACGAGGAGCGCGCTGTCGACATATTCCAGCGCACCGTTAAGAAGGTCGGCGAGCAATATCAGGTTGGACTGCCATGGAAGGACGACAACTTGCGGATGCCACCCAGCTACGAGATGGCAGCGCGAAGACTACGGACGATCGAGAGGAAGATGGACCAGTCGCCGGAGTTTCGTGACGCCTACACAGCCCAGATAGACAACCTCCTGGCGAAGGGATACGCAAGGGAAGCCGAAGGGACAGAGCGAGAGGATCCCAAGAGCTGGTACCTGCCACACTTCGCCGTACGGAATCCGAACAAGCCGGGGAAGACGAGATTAGTGTTCGACGCGGCAGCGCGTGCATCCGGCAGATGCCTTAACGATTATTTACTCGACGGCCCCGACTTATTACGGAACCTACCGGGCATACTGTTTCGATTTAGGGAAAACG